CTGAAATGAACTTTGTGGCTTGTGAACCCTTTAAAAACTGCAGGAAGCAAATTAATCTCGTATGACTTGAATACTTAGAGATGATATATGTGATGATATATGTAATGGAAGACATCTGTTTACATTCCAAAGTAAAGCTCAGCTCCCCACATTCTCCCTCTCTCTCCCTTTCTCTCTCTAAATGTATGTATTCTCTTTCACTCAGCAAGATTAGCAGAAAGAATTCTATGCAAGTAAAAAAACATGTCTGAGGTTTTGAATGACCCAATTTCTTAAACCTTTTTTGATTTCTTTTATTATTGTTGTTATTATTTACTTTCTGACCTCAACACAGCAGAGGCTCTGATAGGAAAAGATTCTGTGGGCGGGCAGCAGGTGGGTGGTCGAATCTGGAATACTTTAACAAATGAGACTCCTTCCTTCAGAAGAGTATAAAATGAAACATTTTATAAGGGGAAGGGAAGCTGAATTGACTTAACCATTCTGATGTACAGATATATTAGAAAAGAATTAAAAGATCATAGTGCTTCCACAGATGAAATATTTCAACCATGTAGCACCATCGAGCTGCCCTGTTTGAAGATAATTCTCATGGATTTCTTCTGTTTGGCACAGTTCAGCCTTTGAGCAAAGGGCATATTTAAATGGCCTTTGAGGTGTTTGCTTACATTTCAGAGTAAAAATAAGCTCTCTTTATCTGGAGGGGAGAATGGGCAGACACGCCAGCAGCATATTCCAGCTAGGGTCTCCGCATTTTGGATTTCTCTCCTATGGTTGATATATACTGCACACACAGATAAACATCCAGCTGTCCTCATGTTGTGCTATGGAAATGGAAGGTGCTTCTCTGGTTGTTGCTTTTCCTGTCTTTCTGTATCAGAGGCCTAGTGTCTTATCTCACTGCGTGTATATGAAATAGTGGCAAACTCTTTAGCTTCCAAGTAGGATAAAACCTAATGCCCTTCATGCTTTCTGAGTTAAACTACACAAGGAATGGGAAACCCAAATAACTATGGGAACCAGGCCTGGGACATTAATTGAAAGAAGTAGGTGATATGATTTGGCTCTGTGTCCCCACCCAAATCTCATGTTGATTTATAGTACCCAGTGTTGGGGGAGGGACCTGCTGTAAGGTGATTGGATACATGGGGATGATTTCTCCTTGCTGTTCTCATGATAATGAGTTCTCATGAGGTCTGGTTGTTTAAAAGTGTGTAGCACTTCCCCCCTTCCCTCTTCATTCTCTTCCTCCTGCTCCAGCCACATAGGAAATGCTGGCTTCCCTTTGCCTTCTGCCATGATTGTAAGTTTTCTGAGGCCTCCCAAGCCATGCTTCTTATACAGCCTGTGAAACTGTGAATCAATGAAACCTTTCTTTCTTTTCTCTTTTCTTTCTTTCCTTTCCTTTCTTTCTTTCACTCTTGTTTCCCAAGCTGGAGTGCAATGGCACAGTCTTGGCTCACTGCAACCGCTGCCTCCTGGCTTTGAGTGATTTTCCTGCCTCAGCTTTTCAAGTAGCTGGGATTGTGGGTGCGCCACCACGCCCAGCTAATTTTTTGTATTTTTAGTAGAAACAGGTTTCACCATGTTGGCCAGGCTTGTCTCAAACCATTGCCTCAGGCGATCTGCCTGCCTCAGTCTCCCAAAGTGCTGGGATTATAGGTGTGAGCCACTGTGCCTGGCTGAAACCACTTTTCTTTACAGATTACTCAGTCTCATGCAATTCTTTATATCAATGTGAGAACTAACTGATATATTAGGCGAGGTTTAAAATAATGAATGGCAACTGACAACCTTTTTGTGGGTACCTAATAGGGAGTACTGGTGTCTGCAACAGCTGAAGAGCAATGTCTCCTTGTGAGATATCCTATCTCGCAATATCTCGCAAAGGCAGTATCTCACAAGGCAACATTGCTCTTCAGCTGTTGCAGATACTAGTACTCAAGAGCACTGATGGAGTTAAACTGAACTCTTCTGGACTGAGTCCAGCCCAAGGGTCACCATTTATTCTTCTCTATCATAAATGGTGAGATATTCAAGGATAGGGATGAATTTATTTCTTCCTGGTAACCATGGAAACCCTTGGCACAATGCCTAAGTAGGCACTCATTTTTCTTTTCTGAATCAAAGATTCTCAGCAAGCTGTAAGCCAGACATTAGCTAAAAAGAAATAAAATATAAAGCCAAAAGATCAACATAAATTTTGCCATGATTTTTTCCCAGAATAAGAACAGTCAGATTTGGTAGACATCATATTTTCATTTTAGTAATCCTCTTAACAGTTGTTGACTACCTATTCCAGCATTTTATTTTGTCTTTACTATAATCACAATGTTATTTTTATTATCCATTTCAGTGCCCAGTTTCTTACACAGTTTTAATATGGCACTTACAGCCCTTGTTTCATGATAAATGGTTTTTATATGTCTCCTATAATAATTGAAAAACTCCAATTACTCTGCAGTTTTGTGTAAGTGATAGAGTCAGCCACAGAGTGAGATACATAAAATTTGTCAGGCCAAATCTGAGTTTTATTTCATAGAGATTGGTTTCAGGGTTATGTAAACAATTGTAAAGATGATTTAAAAACCCTTTTATATTGTATCCAGCAAATATTTCCCTAAGTATTGACCTAAAATGTTTTCAATTCCACGCTGATTTTCTAAAAGCTCCCAAGAATTGTAGGTCATGTGGTGAAATATTAGATAGTTGTTTGAATGTGTTTAGAAGAGTTTAACTACTTAACACATTAGTCAGTTGTCAAAATGGACTACAAGAGAGATTCATACAATGCCTTTCATTCTGTTTGTGCATTTTTAATTATTGGAAAATCCAATGAAAAATAAGTGGATATCATTAAGACGTATAAGACAGAGCATAAATATTTGTCCTCTAGGAAATTATAAGTGGATAGCAAGAGAAGATTGTTCTTAGTTCTGAATTGAAAAATAGGTTGTTTGGAATAGTCTCAGAAAAATGCTTTTCCTAAATATTCAAAAGAGACTGAGACTGCAGTTGTACATACAGATGGAAAATTTCAGTGTCTCAAATTGTAGCTATTGTTCATTAATTCTCAAGAACGCTAACATTTAGGAGTTAGCAAATTGAAAATATTTTGGTAAAAATTATTATTAAATTGAATATTAAAGCAATATCCAACTGTCTTCTATTTTCACTTGTTTCTATTTCTTCCCATTGCCTTTGACTACAGATAAAAGCAATATTAAAATACTTCTCATGCAATATGAAGTAAATGCCAAAAGAAAAATGCCTTGTGTAAATCACGTTCTCTCATAAGTTCTGCTGACCTGCTATGACCCTCACTGGGTTATAGAATTTTTCTGAAATTTTTATAGTCAACTCTTTAATTTGTGACTATATAAAGACAAGTGTTGGAACAGTTGAGTCCAAACACCAGAATGGAGCTATGAATGTGTATATATCCATAAACTTGGTTTACAGCTACTTATATGTACAGTAACCTCACTCTCTATGAACTGGGATGTTAATATCAATTCTTTATCCTTTCTCATTAATAAGGTAATGGTAATCATGAGCAGTGTGGCCAAGTCAATAGTATTTATTTTTATTCTAGTTTTTTCCTTCTCTTGCTATATCTTCTGAGATTTTGTTAGCATGTTCTGTGTTGTTTTGCAGGGGGATTTGCATGTATCGGCATAGGATATATCTGCTGGTTTATGTTTGTCGAAAATAATTGTATGATTTTGTACTAAACATTCTTTAACATTTTTGTTTTCTCTGCCTATAATGTCTTTCATTCATGATGGTGGTGGGAAAAAGGATGAAATTTATGTTTGGAGAGACCCTGTGAAACAGCAGGACACTTCTTATATAACACCATTAAATGTTGTTTCAACAATGTCAGGTGGTCTATATTTGCCCACTAGTTCTGTGAAGAAACATTTTCCAAATTACTTAATTTCCTTAGTGACAAGGGAGAAAATCCTGGTAGACCTCAAGAAAGAGTAGAAAGTTGGGGAAAGGTGTTAAGAGGTTTGAGGTCAGCAATTTGATCTTTTAAAACTTTTTTCTTCGAGGGTAATGTCAACAAATAATGTATGTGATAACTTTTAATGAAGGATAGAGCTCGAAAAGTAAAACGTCAACTCCAACATATAACATTTTTGAGGAAAATGAAGTGAAAACATATGTTCATATAATAATGGAAAAACTTAATGTGTTTTTTTAAGCTTGAGTTTGCGAGAAGTTCTTCATCGTTAAATCATGGTGAGATTCTAGTAAGCATGCAGCACATTTGCAAAAGTATTAAAATGATTCATCATGATTAATTCTGTTACAGTAAATCTCAGCTGTAATCACAATCTACCCTATACTATAGTGGTTTGTCTGTATGTGGTATTTCACATTTTACTAAAGTTTTGGTGGAACTGCAGCTCCTGTAGCAGCACAAATGTCATCTAATTTCACTTTGATTAATGTGACCCTGAAGGAGATCTAATCACAATTAGCCAGTTTCATAAAGTGTTACAGAATCAACGTCATGTGGGAAATGTTCTAAAGCCCTTAAAAATGTACATCCTAGCAAGTAATTCTGGTAGCAAATTGGGTTTCTAGGGGAACGAGGGGGTTTAACTTGGGAAATAGATAACCTAGGGGGATCAGGGGACAATTATTTGCCTTCAGATACTTAAAGGACCAGAAGAAAACAATGCCAATCTAAAACTAATGGTTGAAAGTTATAGAGCAGTGGATATCAATCTAATATACTAAAATTTCAAAAATGGAAACTCATCAGAAACACAGTGAGCTCCATGAATCTAACGGGCTCAATGAAGTATGGAGATTCTTGTTACTAGAAGTATTCAAGGCAAGATGATCACTTATGGAGACTACTGCAAAGTATTTTTTTAATGGCACAGAAGAGTGTTATATTTGGATAAATTCTAAATTCCTCTTTAACCATTTAATAACTAAATTTACTTTGCCACATAAAGAAATTTATTATTATTTTTTTTTAGATATTGGTGGAGGCTTCAGTGGGAGATGGCTTCACTGGAGATATTGCGATTGATGATCTGTCATTCATGGACTGCACCCTCTACCCTGGTAAGAGAGAACGCTTCAATTTGGGGTTATTTCTAAATCTGTTTACTTGGAAAACTTCCAAGGAAATCAATATTTCATTTCTACAAAATTTGCAACATGACCTTGCCTTTATTCTTTTTCTCAAATCAATTAACTCTGGAAAAGATTTTTAAGATCTTTGCTAGTAATTAAAGTGTCAACATCGTCAAGATGTTTGAATCACTTATGTCTATGTCTTATCACATGCAAAATACTAGAAAGTCATGTCTGAAGTTAAAATGTTATTCCATTATATTTAAGGAGTTAAAATAACCAAAACCATTTGCCTTATAATTACATTGTATTGGATACTTGATTAGCTTCTCACTTATCTTCAGTGGTATTTTACTCTCAGGAAACACTTAAAGTATTTCTAAGGATTATTGTCAACCATTTCTTCACTATATTATAGGTTTATGTCTATTAAAATGACATAGATTACATTTTTTTCCAGATTTATATATCCATTTTCAAACTTTTCCCCTGAACTCCAGAATTACATACTAACTACCTACTCACTGGCTCAACCTGGAAGTCTAGTAGGCATCTTAAAGATAATGCTAGAAAATAACCTAAAATGAACACAACCCAGGCCTTGAATACTGTTATTAGGAGAAACCCATTCTGAGGTGTACATAGTGATCTAGGAAGACTGGATATTAAACTCAGAGTTTGGCATTCAGACTGGGAGCTCTTAAAGTGCATGACAAGAGAGAACATGATCTCCTCCCTGGAGTGATCACAGGTTGGGACCCAACAACATTCTCAATTGCTGAAAACTTAAACTCCATCCCTGCTCTGTCATCTTAGTCTCAATTGCTGAGCAGAGCACCAACTTCATTGTTGTCAGAATCGGAGGATGAGGCTGATTCCAGTCTTTTCAGTTCTAGCTATGTGATGCAGCTCTGATCCTTCCCTCCACTCATAGAACTCTGGAGATAGCCAAATCCCTCTCTTGAAGGCCAGAAAAATGAGAGGCAGAATTGAACAAATTTACCCTTACCTCTCAATGCCTAAAAGTGAATTCCTGATTGCATGTTGTCTCTCAATTCTGTCATGCCTGCACACCTCCCTATCTAAGCAAATGACAGTTTACATCTAGCTGCTTATTCCATATTAATAAATTTGGTTTATATTAACAAATCTGGTTTAGAACCCACTTCTTATTGCCCTCACCACTTCCCACCTGGTCCAAGCAACCAGTGTCTCTGCACGAATTATTGTAATTGCTTTTTAAATGATCTCTCGGCCCCTACCCTTGAGCACTATGTTCTGAAAACAGCAACCGACATATTCCTGTTCTAACTTAGATGAGATTGTCTTGTGCTATTGTCAGAATCTTCCTGTGAATTTCTATCTCATTTAGGGCAAAACTCAAACTAATGATAGCTTCCAAGGAGTAAATGACTGACCCCTTCTACCCCTTGAATTTCACCTTTCACCAGTGTGTATATCACTTACTTTTCCCTACTACAACAGCCTCTGAGCTAATACTAGCTAATTCAGCCAATTCATGATGTATTCATCCATTCTCACATTGCTAATAAAGACATACCCAAGACTGAGTAATTTATGTAGGAAAGTGGTTTAATTGACTCACAGTTCCACATGGCTGGGAAGGCCTCACAAGCATGGTGGAAGGTGAAGGAGGAGCACAGTCACATCTTACATGGTGGCAGGCAATGAGAGTGGGTTCAGGGGAACTCCCCGTTTGTTTTTCTTTTCTTTTCTTTTTCTTTGAGGAGGAGTTTTGCTCTTGCTGCCCAGGCTAGGGTGCAATGGTGCAATCTTCACTCACTGCAACCTCTGCCTCCCAGGTTCAAGTGTTTCTCCTGTCTCAGCCTCCCAAGTAGCTGGTATTACAGGCACCTGCCACCACACCTGGCTAATTTTTGTATTTTTAGTAGAGATGGGGCTTTACCATGTTGGTCAGGCTGGTTGTGAACTCCTGACCTCAGGTGATCCACATATCTTGGCCTCCCAAAGTGCTGGGATTACAGCTGTGAGCCACCATGCCTGGCCAGAACTCTCCTTTATAAAACCATCGTATATTGTTAAGACTTATCACTTTCACAAGAACAGTATGGGAAAGATCCATCGCCATGATTCAAGTACCTCTCAATGGGTCACTCTCATGACGTGGGGATTGTGGGAGCTATAATTCAAGGTGAGATTTGAGTAGGGACACAGCCACACCAATCATATGGTAAGGGCTTTTCCAACTGCTGTTCCGTCTCCCTTACTTCCTTCTGGTCTCTGTCAGAGTTTCTTCTTCCAGGAAGCCTTCTCTGAACACAACACATACATAGTTCCTTTCTTATCTAGCATTTTCTATTTCCATTTCTGGTGTTATTTTTCTCCACAACACCTACCACCCTCTTAGTTAAATTTCTGTTTTCCCCCATAATGTTAGTTGCATGAGAGCAGGTACATCACCTGTTCACTGTTTCATCTCTAACACCTAAAACAGTATCTGACACATACTAGTACTCAATAAATATTTGTTGAATGGATAAGTAGATAGAGGGATGTTAACACTTTAGGTGTTTTATATATTCTTGTTATATATTTTAGTTTAGTTTTAATATTGCTAAAATATTAAGTATTTCTATGTGCCAAATACTATATTATGTGCCAGTCAGCTTTTGTTGAAAGCCAAGTCTCAGTAGCTTATGACTACAGACCCGTTTATTTCTTGCTCTCAAGTGTGTGGGTTGGCATGGAACAATAAGAGCAAAGAGATAGACAGATATATAGACAGACAGATCTTATTCATTGGTCTGTGTAAAAAGCATATTTAAAATTTCAATTGGGACATGGTATACATCTCATTGTGTCTGTTCATGTTCATTATCCATTGATCAGAGCCTAACAATGGGGCATAGTGTATTTTCCACCTACAGGAAGCTGGGCAAGGGTAGGGGAGATAAAAAATATTTGCAAGAAAGGGAGGTGGTATGTAGGCACAATATTACACCTGGCCACTCATGTGTATTTTATCTCACTTAATCCTATAATGTTTTAACAGTCTAGAAGAGTGCCTGGTCCATCATAGGTGAATATATGTTGTATGTGGAGCAGGATTAATGCCTTTATTATACCATTTTTATGGAGGAAATTGAAAGGGAGATAACCTGCTCATGAATACCTAGCTGTAAAGTGGCAGAACACAGTGAGTACTTCTTGGGACCATAATGTTCACCAATAGTATTATACTACTCATCAAACACAATAAACCTGCAAGGAGGAGGCTGCAATTTCCAATTTATAGATATGAAAAATTAAAAAGCATAAGCAGCCTGGATGAGAATACAAAATTAAGGATTTAATTGTGATTTTACCTTAGCTGGTCTGATTTTAGTGGCCAGGGCTTTCTCCACATTGCCCCCAAGTCTGAGATCAGAGAGAAACACTGTGACCTCAGAGGCAGAAGAGAACAAAAAAGAACACAGAAAAGAAACACAAAACCTTCGAAACTGTTGCTGCCCTAAATATCTGGTTAAATCCATTCTGTGGCTTATAGTTCCAAAGGGAGATAGAACAGCTTCCAGAGGCACAGGCAGAGATGTGAAATATCAGTTACAGAGTGCTAGTCCCAATTTTCTGTTTCAAGTTTTGGAAGAAAAATATAAAACTTTATCAACTGTTTGAGCTGTGTGTGTGTTTTTTTATTGCGTTGGCTTCATAACTAAAGAAACTGTGGGTCAAAACCACAAGGCCTGTTGAATCCATAGGTTTCATAAAGGACTTTGATGTAATCTTGCCACAAGATGAAACAAAAATAAAAATTGGTCTCTTCATAAAAAAATATTACTCTCGATGCTTTCCAGTCATTTTTTTTCATGGCATCATGCCTGTGGATTTACACCCAGAACTGGGATTGCTGGATCATACAGATAGTTATAATTTGAATTTTTTAAGCAACCTCCATGCTATTTTTCATAAGGGTTGTATCAATTTACATTCCTACCAACAGTGTCTAAGAGTTCCCTTTCCTTACATCCTGACTGTCATTTGCTATCTTATAACATTTGTTAATAGATATCCTAACAGATGAGAAGTAATGTATCATCATAGTTTTGATTTGCATTTTCCTGATCATTACTGATAGTGAGTGATTTTTCAGATACCTATTGTCTATGTCTTCTTTGGAAAAAAGATGTCTTTTCTGGTATTTTGCCCCTCTTAAAATTGGATTCTTTGTTGTTGTTGATTTTGTTTTTGCTGTTGAGTTGTATGAGTTTTTTAGGTAGTTTGGATATTAACTCCTTATCAGTTATGCAGTTTAGAAATATTTTCTTCCATTGTGATTTTGTACGTGATGTAAGAGCCCAATTTCATTTTGCTTTGCATGTGGATATCCAGTTCTTTAACACCACTTATTGAAGAGATTATATTTTCCCATTGTATATTCTTGTCACTTTTCTTATAGATTACTTGACTATATGTGTACGGGTTTATTTCTGTGCTTTCTATTATGCTCCATTGGTCTATGTTTTTGTTTTTATACAAGTACCATGCTTGATTACTACAGCATTGTAATATAATTTGAAATCAGAAAGTGTGATGCCATCAGATTTTTTCTTCTTGTTCAAAATTGCCTTAGCTATTTGGAATCTTTTGTAGTTCTGTGTGAATTTTTAGGATAGTTTTTTCTATTTCTGTGAAAAATGCCGTAAGAATTTTCATAAGGATTGCATTAAATTTGACTGCAAGACAGATGTAGATTGCTTTTAGTAGCATGGACATTTTGACAATATTAATTCTTTTGATACATAAACATGGGCTATATTTTCATTTATTTGGATATTTTCCAATTCATTTTATCAATATTTTATAGTTTTTAGTGTACAGATGTTTTATTATTTTGGTTAAATTTATTCCTAAGTAATTTTTTTCTTTTTGGTCCTATTATAAATAGAATACTATTCTTGTTTTTAGATAGCTTGTTTTGGTATATTGAAACACAACTGTTTTTTGTGTTTCATAATGTGTTTATCTCATTTCTTATTTGACCAGTATTTTGGTGGAGATGTTAGGGTTCCCTACATGTAAAATGATATCATCTGCAAACAGGAATCATTTTACTCTTTTCTTTCCAGTATAGGTGCCTTTTATTTCATTGTCTTGTGTAATTGCTCTAGCTAAGACTTCCAGTTTTACGTTGGATAGAATTGGGGAGAGTAGGTGTCTTTTTCTTATTCCTGAACTTAGAGGAAAATCTTTTAGCTGGGTGTAATGTTAACTTTGGGCTTATATAGGGGTTTGCTTTTACCCACATCCTCCCAACACTTACTAAAAGCTTTCAGGCTGTTACTGTATTGAGGAGCATTTCTTCTATTCCTAATTTGTTTGGAGTTTTTATTGTGAAAGTATGTCAATATTGTTAAATGCTTTTTCTACATTTGTTGACATGATCAGAAGATTTTAAGCCTTCATTCTGTTAATATTATGTATTACATTCATTAATTTACATATGTTGAGCCATCTTTATGTTCCAAGGATAAATTTCACTTGGTTGTGATATATGATCCTTTTATGCTGTTGTTGAATTCAGCTTGCTAGTATTTTGTTGAAGATTTTTGCATCTATATTCATCATACACATTAGCCTGTAATTTTTTTTCCTGGTAGTCTTTTCTGGCTTGGTATCAGGCTGATCTTAAAAAATAATTTTCAAAGTGTTCATTCCTCTTCAATTTTGGGAAGAATCTGTTAAGGATTGGTATGAATCCTTTAAATGTTTACTGGAATTTAGTCTTGAATCCCTCAGGCCCAGGCCCTTTCTTTGGTGGGAGATTTTTGGTTAATGATTCAATCTCATTACTCATAATTTGTCTATTTAGGTTTTTTATTTCTTCTTGATTCCATCTTGGTAGGTCATATGTTTCTAGGAATTTATCAGTTTCTTTAATGTTTTTCAGTTTCTTGGGGAATAGCTGTTAATAGCAGTCTTGTATGATCCTTTGTATTTCTGTGGCATCAGTTGTAATGTCTCTTCTTTTCTGATTTTATTTGCTCCCTCTGTTCTTATTATATCTAAATGTTTATTAATTTTATCTTTTCAAAAAATTATGTTTCATTGATCTTTTAGTTTTTCTTTATTGTAATTATTTCTGCTCTGATCTTTATTATTTCCTTCTTTCTACTAACTTTGTGCGTAGAAGAAAAGCAAGTTCTTTTTCAAGTTCCTTGAGGTATAAAGATAGGTTGTTTATTTGGGATTTGTTATTTAATATTTTTTTTTATTTCTGAGGTATTTATTACTATAAATTTTCCTCTTAGAACTGCTATTGCTGCATTCCGTAAGTTTTGGTATGTTGTGTTTCCATTTTCATTTATCTCAGATTTTTTATTCCATTTTTATTTCTTCTTTGACCTATTGATTTTTAAGTAGTATGTTGTTTTAATTTCCACGTTTGTGAATTTTTCAACTTTTCTCCTGTCATTGATTTTCAGTGTCATTTCATTGTGATTAATAAAGATGCTGGATATGATTTCAAACTTCCTAAATTTGTTAATGCTTGTTTTGTGGCCTAACATATTATCTATCCTGGAGAATGGTCTGTATGCACTTGAGAATGTGTATTCTGCTGTTGAATGTAATGGTCTGTATATGTTTGCTAGCTTCATTTGTTCTAAAGTATCATTTAAGTTCAATGTTTCTTAATTGATTATCTGTCTGTATGATCTATCCATTGTTGGAAGTGAGATATTGAAGTCCTTTATTATTATTGTTTTGTTTTCTCTTTCTCCCTTCAGATTAATTAATATTTGCTATACATTTGTATTCTTTCATGTTCAGCATATATATATTTATGATTATTATATCCTCTTGATTGACTACTGTATATTTATATAATAAATGTTTTGTCTCTTTTTACTATTTTTGACTTCAAATGTATTTTGTCTCATATAAATAGTTTCTTGAGCTCTTTTTTGGTTTTCATTTGCATGGAATGTGCCTTTCATTCTTTCACTTTCATTCTATCTGTGTTCTCAAAGTTGAAGTGGGAGTCTTGTAGGCAGTCCATCATTAGATCTTTTTTTTTTTTTTTTTTTTGGATCCTTTAAGGCAATCTATGTCTTTTCATTGGAGAATGTAATCCACTTACATTTAAAGTAATTATTAATAGCTAAGGACTTACTATAGCCTTATAAAAATTTTCTTTCTAGCTGTTTCATAGACCTTTTGTTTCCTTCTTTCTCTTTTCTTCCATTGTGTTTTGATGATTTTCTGTAGTGGTATGCTTTAATTGTTTTCTCTTTACCTTTTGTCTGTTTACTATAGGGTTTTGCTATTTGTTTAACATATGGCTTACTAAAACCAGCTTATAGTTACAACAGTTCATTTTAAGCTAATAAAATCTTAATTTTAAATTAATTTTAATTTTAAACTAATTTAAATCTAATTCCAATTTAATTCCATATAAAAAGCTACACATTCTCCCACCCCAACATTTATGTTTTTGATTTCACAATTTACATCTTTTTATATTTATAAAATTTACTATTTATATTAAATTCACAATACAGAATACATACTAGCACTATAAAGATAAATCACTTGTAACTCTAAAGATAAATGTTATTAAAAATATAGAATTTGTAATTTGTTAATAGATATGCAATATATAAAGAAATTCTTAATTTTAATCTAATCCATTAGGCAAAATTAATTATGTTTCCAGGGACAGTAGGAACTTAGCCATGTAATACATTTCTGTGGTTCCTTGCATAACTGTACAATGATGTTGTGTGTTGCCTGAGGAGACAATGGTAAGGAATGATGACAAAGTTAGAGATTTCCTTTTACCTTGAATCAGATCTTCAGATTAGATTAGGAGCTGCTACCAGACATTCATATTAAAAAGCATGTGGCTCAAAGGAAGTATTTGCTTTTAATTATTCTTTCTGTTCTTTAGAAAAGCCAGAAGTATATTTTCTTCAGGTGAACACATATGGCAGGAATTTTCTTCCTTGCACCAAAGATTATTGGTGAAATACCTAGTTTATTTAGAAAAATGAAACATTGATTACATGACAAAATACTGTCTGCAAATTGAAATAAAAATTAGGTGTTTTTTGTTGGATTTTTTTTTTTTTTTTTTTTTACGGAGTTTCGCTCTTGTTACCCAGGCTGGAGTGTAATGGCGCGATCTCGGCTCACCACAACCTCTGCCTCCTGGGTTCAGGCAATTCTCCTGCCTCAGCCTCCCGAATAGCTGGGATTACAGGCACGCGCCACCATGCCCAGCTAATGTTTTGTATTTTTAGTAGAGACGGGGTTTCACCATGTTGACCAGGATGGTCTCGATCTCTTAACCTCGTGATCCACCCGCCTCGGCCTCCCACAGTGCTGGGATTACATGTTGGATTTTTAAATTTCAGATTTCGGCATGCACATTAGAATTGTTAGTTACTGCAAGTATTAGTTATTAGAATGTAGGTATTAAATTAATATTCATGTTAATAATTCTGAGGTATTATTAGGATTTTATTTTCCCCATGATAACTATTACTAAAGTAGTGGCATATTGTACAATTGATGATGCCTTAAAATTGATAAAATATACTAACTATTTGTAGGACACTTAACATAATTTTTATGATGTCCTCCCCAACCCCTTACACATTGAATGTGTTTTGTTGTTGTTGTTGAACTGGGTTGAGTGGATTTTTGGCATCCCCTCTCATTAGCCTCAGTGTCTCACCAGCTTTATTTACAAATGGTGTTCAAGTCTCTCTTTATTCTGGAGAGATGAATGTTTGTTTCAGTGTGAATCCAAAGGCAAGGGGAACAGTGTAAATACTATTGGCTTGACTTTTAAGATTTCACCTGCAGCTTTTCATCTTCTAATAGTGTACTGTTTGGCATATTCATTATAATTACATGAAAGCACTGTGTTTTGAAATATGCCTTTCTTTTGTATTTTTCTAAAGGTGGTATAAACTCAGAAGAAAATACCAAATTATTAGAAATATTTGCAGTATAATATAAGATGTCAAGGCAAAAATAAAAAAAAATTGAGCCTTAGTATTTTCAATCTTAAATATTATGGTCTTAGCTTCTTTGGTGTGGTCTGTAAAGTGATTTAGCCTATACATAGGAAAGAAAAATTTGGCCAAAGTCTGTGATATGTTCAACTTAACAGCTTTATTGTGTTCCTATAAACTAAAATTGGAAAATTATTCACTTAACTTACTTTAAAGTTAAAACTTTCACATTGTTTTACATTCTGTCTTAATTGAGAGAAATGCTAAATGTTAAACATGGAGAAGGTTGTCTAAATGGTTAGTTTTCAGCTTGGAAATTTTTGATTTGCTACTTCAGTCATTTGCAGTCCCATTCAAATATAGTAGAATATCTGTAAAGATGGAAAATGTCATTGAATCCATGTTATAAAACAAAAGTATTTTAAACATTGTTGATTTGCTACTGGAGACAAAAAATATCAGTGCATAATTTGTGGCAAACAGTTATAACACAGTTATTAAAATCATATCCAGAGAGTACCTATGTTTTCAGAAAGCTTTTTCTCCTAGAAAGTAGATCTAACACAGACTCCTCAATACAATCATAATAAATGTCGTTCTTTTAGATTGTGAATATAACTCTAAGTTATGGTACTAAGTGAAATAGAAAAAAATGTATGATATTTCCCAAAAGCAAAGCTATTTCAAAATTTTAAATTTTCTAAAGAGACTCTTTTAGCTTCAAGTATGCTTTTAGATTTTTAATGTTTTAAGAAACATTAAATATGTTTCTTCAAAAATCACAGGGAAAACATACACATGCTACCTAAAAATAGATATAAAGTTCGGTGATTCGTATTAGTCAAGCACTTCATTCAGTGGTAACACGTCTAAAGTTGGTAATAATTTATCTGGGACTAGGGATCTCAAAATATCTGTTTCATTTGCTTGATTATCAATGTGGGAATGGGTGTAATGAGAGAAGTCTAGTATAAAACAAGTTGGAAAATCTATTATACCAAAGTGATTATATTAGCGCAGCCTAAAGTTTATTGTATTTGGTTGCAGTGAATTCACAGAGTGAGGAGTTAGATCACTGAGTCCATTCAGAGCCTGAAACATCTATTTATGAACTCTTCCACCTAACAGAGGTACAGGTAGTTTGGTTCCCCTGTGGCTCAGGGATGTAAAAGAAGATCAGATCAAACCAGACTAACCTCTACTTCTTAGTGCAAACATCAGTCAAATGCATTTCATCTTTTCAGTTTTTGTTTTATCTGCAAATCATTTAGTGTTCTTTGTTTAAAGAGACTTTAAATATATCATTGCTACCAACTTTAGCCTTATTCTAAGCAATTATAGATCAACACAACCCTATAAGCTTTGCAGTGAGCTGAATATTTGCCTCACCCCACAATTCATATGCTGAAACCTTAATCCCCAATGAAATGGTGTTTGTAAGCGGGGCCTTTGAGAGGTAATTTGGATTAGATTAGGTCATGAGGATGGTGTTCTCATGATGGGATTAGTGTTCTTATAAAAAGAAGAGACAGAACTCTCTTTCTCTGTCTCTTTCTCTTTCCGTATACTGCATAATCATTTCTAGCATCATCTGAGTTAAGAATGTGATACTTTAGAAAATCCTCTTCTAAGTCTTTGCAAGGCTAAATGAGTTGACCTCATGTCCCTTAGAGGAAAGTGTAAACAATGTGTGAGGACCAGAGAGCCCGTCAAGAATCTTAGATTTTTGTCATGCCTCAGTCACACATGAAGTATTGGCCTGATTATGTTTCTGGATTTTGTTTAACTTCCACATCACAGAATCTATGAAATCAGCTGCAACTCCATCTTCCTAGTTAAAACCACCACCAGTTGCAAAGTTCGGCTCCAGAGGAAGAAACGTTTTTCTAAATTAGCTCTCTTAGTGCTCTTCTCTTTAATGCAAGACATTGGACGTACTTGGTGTATCAAATTCCCTCATTCTGGTGGAGTAATAAATAAGTAACGAGAATAGGATTAGGAATTATAGACTCTGAGTTTTTCTTTCCTTTTTTTATTGCTTAGAGTAGTTGTCCTTTTACTTTTCACTCTCTGAAGCCATTTTGAGATAAAATGAATTGTTTCTACTTTTCCTCATATGAACTAATCTTTCTCTTTTCCAAGTTATCCAACTCATGTCCAGGATTTCTCCCCAAGGATTATTTTTTAGTTAAGTTGAAATCAGCACTATAGATGCAGTTCAGACCGCTGTTTTTGCCAAGTGCAGTGGCTCATGCTTGTAATACCAGCACTTTGGGAAGCAAAGGTGAGTGGATCACTTGGGGTCAGGAGTTCAAAACCAGCCAGGCCAACGTTGTGAAAACCCATCTCTGCCAAAAATACAAAAAATTAGATGGGCATGATTGTGGGTGCTTGTAATCCCAGCTACTCAGGAGGCTGAGGCGCGAGAATCTCTTGAATTGGGAGGCAGAAGTTGCAGTGAGCTGAGACCCTGCCACACTGCTTTCCAGCCTGGGTGACAGTGAGACTCTGTCTGACACACACACACACAAACAGACTAGACTGCTGGTTTTAGGAATATGGAAGACCAGATAACCTAAACAATGTAACACTACTTATTCCTAGAAATGCCAAATATACTGATAAATAAAAGGTCATTAAATTTTGTTAAATTTTATGTTGAAGGACACCATACATAAAAGATTTCACAGACTAGGAGAATGTTTTTGTCATACAGATAAATAACAGAGGATTAGAATGAAGTATGTGGAATACAAACCTGTAAGTTAATAAGAAAATGATAATTAATCCAATTGGAAAAAGATTAGGAGATATGGACCATCAGTTGTAAGCTAGAGCAAAATACCAAGTGGCCCCTTAAAAATATGTGTTTTAAAATATTTTATTTTAAAAAATTTTATTATTTATGATAAGTTCTGGGATACATGTGCAGAATGTGTAGGTTTGTTACATAGCTATACATGTGCTATGGTGATTTGCTGCACTCATCAACCCCTCACCTAGTATTTAAGCCCTGCATGCATTAGGTAATCGTCCTAATGCTACCGTTGCTCTTGCCCTCCACCCCTCGACAGGCCCCAGTGTGTGATGTTCCCCTCGCTGTGTCCATGTATTCTCGTTGTTCAACGCCCATTTGTGAATAAGAACATGTGGTTTTTGGTTATCTGTTCCTTTGTTAGTTTGCTGAGAATGATGGTTTCCAGCTTCATGTCCCTGCAAAGGATATGAGCTCATTCTTTTTAATGGCTGCATAGTATTCTATGGTGTATATGTGCCACATTTTCTTTATCCATTCTATCATTGATGGGCATTTGGATTGGTTCCAAGTCTTTGCTATTGTAAATAGTGCTTCAGTAAACATACATGTTTATGTGTCTTTATAGTAGGATGATTTGTAATCCTTTGGGTATATATATACCCAGTAATGGGGTTGCTGGGTCAAATGGTATTTCTGGTTTTAGATCCTTAAGGAATCGCCACACTGTCTTCCACATAGTTAAACTCATTTACACGCCCACCAAAAATATTTCTTAATGTAAAAATTACATAATTTTTACAATCTCAATAATTTCCATGATTAGGAAAATACATATTAAAATGCCAAATGCCAGCGGGGATGTGGAGCAACAAGAATTCGCATTCATTGCTGGTAGAAATACCAAATAATGTGGCCACTTTTAAAAAGGTTTGACATTTTCTTCTAAAATTAAACATTGCTTTACCATGTGATCCAGCCACCACGTGCTTTGGTATTTACCCCTATGAGTATATTCACACAAAAACCTGCATATAGATAGATGTTTATAGGAGCTTTATTCACAATTGCTAAAACTTGGAAGCAACCAAGATGTCCTTTAGGAGATAAGTGAGTGATAAACTGGATCATTTCCAGAGAATGGAATATTATTCAGTGCTAAGTAAATGAACTATCATGCTGAGATATGAAGGAAATTTACCTGTGTATTACTAAGCGAAAGAAGCCAATAAGAAAAGGCTACACACCCTATGATTCCGACAATATGACGTTCTGGAAAAAAGAAAAACTATGGAGATAGTAAAAACATTAGTGTTTGCCATTGTTTAGGGGAGAGAGTAGGATGAATAGATGGAGGATTTCTACAGCAGTGAAACTCTTCTGCCTGATACCATAATTGTTGATCTAAGTGCTGACAGGAATAGGGTATCAGATTTGGGGTTGCTGAGAACAAAAAGATGTGCCAATATCCAACAAGCATATGAAAAGATGCTCAACATGGCCAGTTAAGGAAAATGCAAATCAAAACCACAGTAAGACATCATGTCATACCCATTAGAATGGCCATTTTCTAAATAATAGAAAAATAGCATTAGTGAGAATGCAGAGAAATCAAAACTCTTGTGCATTCTTGGTGAGACTGTAAAGTGGTTCAGCCATTATGGAAAGCATTCCTCAAAAAATTAAAAATAGAATTACCCTATGATGTAGCAATCCTATTTTCAGATGTATATCCAAAATAATTCAAAGCAGGATCTTGAGATATTTGACTACCTTTGTTCTTTGCTATATTATTCACAGTAGCTAAGAGGTGGAAGAACCCAAATGTCTATTAACAGATGAATGGATAAGGAAAATGTGGTATATAAATACAATGGAAATATTATGCAGCCGTAAGGAGGAAGGAAATCCCATCACATGCTGTAATAACCTAGCTTGTGCTAGCCTGACTGACTCCATCTTAGCTGTGAGCCTGACATGCTCCATCTTAGCTTCTCCCTCCCTGCCTTGGCCCCCTGGGGTGCATTACTGGGTCACGCTGCAGTCAAAGCTTTGAACTGTTGAGTGGTTCCTACTGTTCACAGTACCTGTAACCATTGTAACTATCCGGCTTGGCAAATCTACCTGCTTTTGTGAATACCCTCCTGGGTAATTGATTGTATGGAAAGATTTTGTGCTAGAGTGAAAGAACATGACATCCTGCTGTAATTAAACACGAACTCTCTTTGACAAAATATGTCCCTTTCCAGATGACATTTTTGATATAGGATATACAAATAAAAAGTTTACATACATCTTCTAATGTATTTTAATTATATATTTTCAGTAAAATTATTTAAGTAAATTATGCCTTGAAATGTCACAGCAAATTAGTGATCAAATTAGAAGATTTATTTATTTATTTGTTTATTTATTTGAGATGAAGTCTTGCTCTGTCACCTGGCTGGAGCGTAGTGGCATGATCGTGGCTCACTGCAACCTCAGCCTCCCGGGATCAAAACAATTCTCCTGCCTCAGCCTCACGGGTAGGTGAGGCTCCAGGCACACCACCACACCCAGCTAGTTTTTGTATTTTTAGCATAGATGGGGTTTTACCATGTTGGTGAGGCCGGTCTTGATCTCTTGACTTTGTGATCCACCCACTGTGGCTTTCCAAAGTGCTGGGATTACAGGCATGAACCACCATACCTGGCCATTAGAAGATTATTTTTAAGACCTTGTATTTAAACATTTTGAAAGGGTGATTTTCAAAGAAATTTCTTCCATATATTCGATTGAGACATATAAAATATCCATCAACCTGGCCATTGAATGTTTTGCAGTTCTCAGCAAATTCTCTCATAGTGATTTTTATAATCTCCTGATACCTTTATTTGGAAAATAATTTTTCTCCAAGGTTAGTGAATTTTTCTTTCTGATTCAAACTCTGTCCTTCAAGATCTTCAAAATCATCAGCTTTCAAAAATGATAGATTCTCTTTTAAATTTTTTTGAAATTTTACTATAACATTGGATGCATCAGATTTCTATGGAAGGTAATAACGTTCACCCCTAATTGGGTTCTTATTTTTGTTCAATGACTTAGATTTGAGTATATCCAACTGGATATAGGATGAAGTTTCCAACCTGCTAGGATCTGCTTTTTTTGTATTGTCATTCTGTTTTAGGATAGAAAATATTTCTTTTTACATTTATTTTATTTTGATTGTTTTTTGTTTTTAGTTTGGGATGAGGGATGTGGAGGTGGGGGTCTTGCTCTGTCACCCAGACTGGAGTGTAGTGGTGTGATGTTGGCTCACTGCAGCCTCACCCTCCCAGCTCAAGTGATCCCGCCACCTCAGCTTCCCATATGGCTGGGGCTACAGGTGCAGACCACTATGCACAGCTAATTCTTGTATTTTTTGTTTTTGTAGAGGTGAGGTTTCGCCATATTGCCCAGGCTCGTCTCAAAATCCTGAGCTCAAGTGATCCACCTGCCTTAGCGTCTCAAAATGATGGGATTACAGGCGTGAGCCAGCACGCCTGGGGAGAAAATATTTCTTATCCCTAGAAACTGACTCCTTCTCTTCTATATCCTCTACATCTAATCTTGGGGAAGAGCATGCTCATTTACTTAACAATCGGTTAATCATTTCATACTCACGCCTATGGGATCAGAATACTATTTCCTTTCCCTGGTCTTAGCCTTTCATGTAGACTGAGCTCTATCTGGTAGCCTCACATTCCTGATATCTCTTTGTCTTCTTATTCATTCCTTCCTAGAGGAAGGAAGAGCAACAATGGATTAGTGAGTTTTCAAGAAGAACCTGAGTATGCTTACCTGGTCCCTCACCTCCTCTTTACTTTTCAGCGTTAACTCGCTAAGAAAATGGGAAATCTGGCCAATTCTTCCTTGCTGTAGTTTTGCATAGGGAAGCCTGGAAGGCATAGGTTATAACAGGGAGTCTTATTTTTGGGTTTCAAGTTTTAGAAGACCACTTGTCTACAGATATAGGCAGTCTTCTTCAGGATTAGTTACATCAATACAAAGTTGATATTTTGATCTACTGTCTCAATCTTAGTTCTTAATTTTCTCAACACTTGAGCTAAGAAATAAAGTACTAGTTATTGGACTTTCCCCAAATTCCCAACAGCATGCAAATCCCCAGTCCTCCAGACACTGGATGTTTAGTATTGCTCAGATCTTTGCTCTTTGCTATAAACCATCTCTGCTTTGGTTTATCAGTTGCCTGGATTAAAGAAAGTGCTTAACTATTCTTTTTTTCTAGAGCAACCTACAATTCATACTTCACACTGATGTCAAAAAATATATCTTGAAGTACAAATTTCATGTCTTGGTATTTCTCTACATTTTTGTGTGTTTATTTCAGACTCCTGAGTTGATTTCACCTGGCTCTTTGTGGTAACTATCTACTCTCCAGTTCCATATCTAATAACTCAATCACTTGCATGCTTATCATATTGCGAGATATTGTCATGCCAAACTCTCATAGTATTTAAAATAAAAAAAGTTTAATATGTTTCCATGCATTCACACAAGTTTTTTTTTCCTCAATGCCCATAAATACCTTGTATTCTTTTTCACCTAGCCAGATGAGCTCATCATCCTTTGAAAGTCAGTTTAAACATCAGCTTGCCAAGATATCTTCTTTGACTCCCATCTGATATATGGTTTTCCTCTGTTTTCTTTCAGTAAGCTGTAAAATCTTCCATTTATTTTATTTATCCATCCATCCATCCATCCATCCATCCATTTATTCACTTGTCATTGTTAGCTTACCTACCATATACCATGGTCTTTGAATTGTGCTAGGGAGGCAGGAGTGAAAGATGCTGTTCTTGTTTCCATGGAGTTATAGCTCTACCATAAATTTATCACAAATAACTGTAATGAAAGATATATCTGCCCACCTTGTTCACTAGACTGTAAACTATTTAATGGCAGAGATGGCATATTTGGCTTGTGTTCTGTGCAGGAAACATGTGAGGGGAGAAGAAAAGGCACACACAGAATGCCTTGAAGGATAAACAAGGTTTATCTCATGTGAATGGCAATATAGATATAATAAGCAAATGATATAATAAGCAAATTAATATAATAGGCAAATTGGTATAAGAAGCAAATGATACAGTAAACAAATTGCAATGGGAAGAGGGGAAGGGAAAAGAGATATATATATTTACACTCAACAGACTATGGAGGATTCACCACCAAACTGGGAAGCAGCAGCCTGGGCTCCAGAGTTGGCCATTCGTCCATGCACAGATGAGGAGAGGTCTCATGGAGCTTCAGTGCAGTCTGGGACCCTAGCTTTTTTTGTAACGAGTTCTTTGGCATGAGGTCCAGTCACAAGGGCCCTTCGTGACTGGACTCAAGGAATGCAAAAGGGTCAACCTGGTTTTGCGATTGTCTATTGGTTCTCAATAACCAACATATAGGAATAGAATGAAATATAGATTGCTCTGAAACAACAGTGGATGAACACCTCAAGTGGCTCAGACAACCCATTCCGGGATTTGGTGACCATTGTTTGTGTCTATTTTCAGTTGAGTTCAAATTTGCTATTTAACTTTTCTTCTGTAGATTGGATTCTCTGCATCTACCATGTACATGGCAGAGATATGTTATCAATACAAGTTTATTGAATACTAATAAATCAGTCAACATCTATAAATGTCTTCCATCCTCAGTAATTTTAGAATTTGTAATCTTGTTCCAAATTTCTAGATGAAAATTTCTGGTTTGACTGTTCCTGAAAGCTTGAATTTTAAATATGTGAAAATATGTGAAACAAAGATGAGGAGATGTTAGATTTATTGTAGCAGTGGAAGAACAAAGGTTATTTACCTAGTAGATTAGAAAGTTATTTAGATCTTTACAGTGGCTCTTAATTCCAGAATCTGAAACTCCGTTGGTTCCTGCTGATTCTGTAAGCCCTGGCCTTGGGCCTCCCATTTATTTGGTCATTTGGTCAGCTCTGAATAGCCTTTTCAGTAATTTGCATCTGTACCTTCATCATTTTTTATGATCAAAGATACTTATTTATTGTTACTAAAACAAAGAAATTCAATTTTATTTTCCAGATTAGCAAATACTATCAAGTGTTCTGTATGTTGTTAATTGTGAGGCATATTTAGAAAGCTTCATTGTGTAAAATCTTTAAAGAAGTAGAAAACCTGCTAAATGATGCCCGTATATGATTTCTTATCAAGGTAATTTGCCAGTGGACCTCCCAACTCCACCAGAAACTTCAGTTCCTGTAACATTACCTCCACACAACTGCACAGACGATGAATTTGTCTGCAGGTCTGACGGTCACTGCATTGAAAAAATGCAGAAGTGTGATTTTAAATATGACTGCCCTGACAAATCAGATGAAGCATCCTGTGGTAGGTGTATTCTTAAATTTTATTTAAATATTACTACAAAATAGATAAGAAAATACAAGTGTAATTTCTATGTAAGCACAGCCTAGTATCATAGTTAGAGATATTCAACATGAGTTAGAGCAACTTCTTAATGTAACAGTTTCTCATACAGAAAATTGTAATAGAAGAGTCAGAATGCATTTTCTACCAGGCCCAATAACAGGTAAGTGTCTTTACATTAATGTGTTGGATTCAAAACTATCATTTTCCCAAACTTTACTTGACTCTGGGAGTAGCATTTAGTAGCTCTCTCCATCCATTCCCTTTGATCTCTACTCTTCACAAAATAGGAAATGTTTAGGGAGGAAGCTGTATAGTACTGTCAAATTAATTAATTCATTCAAATTTTGCCATTGCCAAAATGCAGATATAACATTAGTACTATTAAAATATGCAGAGTTCATGAGAAAAATCTATCTTAATGCAAATGGGACCTTTATCCCTTGTGTCCTGGTTTTCACCTGCCAATTCAATGGTACCTCCCAATTCAATGACTTTTCTTAAACTTATGAAAGGCAAGTTATTTAACTTAAAAGTGGACTTCTCAGTCAAAGATACAATCTGAGAGGAGAAAAATTAATCTGTGTCTGAATGAGCAAAGCACAAGATCGGAAGGGGTAAATACTTTGTAATATCATTCCTTTCCCTCCCTGCTCTTTATGGAGTAGCCTGTGAATTGACTGTACCATCATATTTCTCAACTGTCTTGATAATATTAAGGGCTCAGACAGACAGATAACTCAGAGAGGATAGTGAAACTCTTGTTTTATGTCAACCTTGTGAAGAAATTCTACAATTTAAGAAATCCATTGAAGTTCATATTTATTCTTTTAACCTAGAAAAAAAATTGTTTCTTAATGTACAAATATACCACTAATTAACTATGTAAACTAGACTTAAAATCAAAGATGACTCACTTCATGCATAAGTTGAGACAGTAATTAACTCAGGCTAGCCAGGGATTTATATCATGCATCACAGATGGAAAATAATACAATGGAAGGTGTGGTGATCTTCAGACTTGCTCATGGGAAGGCATTTGAATCCCCTTATGGTCTTATATAAGTTGTAGTGTTTGTAAGCATTTACATAAAACCTAATTAATGACACATAATGAATATCTTTAGGGAATACTGAATTTCCTCTAAGTTCAACTTTGTCATTTTAGTAATGTCATTTATGATTAGATGGGAAGTTTTGATAAATTATTTAAATATCCTGAATGAATGTATACTATTAAGTTATTTTTAATCAGAGTTTTTACAATTTTTGAGAAAATATAAATGAATCATTATCATTTTATTTATGAATAAACTGAGAGCTTGTCTCCTTCACCCTTTAGTAAGATAAAATATGATAAATCTGCTTGTAAACTCTGCAGGTTTTCTAATTGATTTTTAAAATTTTGATAAAAACCCATGACGTGGCCACATGCAGTGGCTCATGCCTGTAATCCCAGCACTTTGGGAGGCGAAGGTGGGCATATCACTTGAGTCCAGGAGTTTGATACCAGCCTGGCCAACATGGGGAAACCCCTTCTCTACCAAAAAAAAAAAAAAATACACAAAAATTAGCCAGATGTGTCTGTAATCCCAGCTCCTTAGGAGTCTGAGGCAGGAGAATTGCTTGAGTCTGGGAGTGGAAGCTCAGATCGTGCCACTGCACTCTGGCCTAGGTGACAGAGTAAAACACTGTCTCAAAAAATGAAATGATAACACATAGCATGAGATCCACCCTGTTAACAAAATGTTGAGTGTACAATACATCACGTAGTGCAGTGTTGTACATCAGATCTCTAGAACCGATTAATCTTGTTTGACTGACACTGCATATTTTCCAGTAGTTCTTTTAAAAGTCTATAATCTATATCTTTTAAATGATATGAAGAACAGAGATATATTAGATCCTAATTCCCTTCACAAGATAAACAGTTATATAATCTATATTAATGTCAGAGATTAACTAATACACCTGAAGTTATGATTAAAAACACTTTTTTAGGCCTGGCACTGTGACTCATGCCTGTAATCCCAGCGCTTTGAGAGGCCAAGGTAGGCAGATCACCTGAGGTCAGGAGTTCAAGACCAGCCTGGCCAACCTGGTGAAACCCGTCTCTACTAAAAATACAAAAAATTAGCTGGGTGTGGTGGCGGGTGCCTGAATTCTAGCTACTCAGGAGGCTAAGGCAGGGGCATTTCTTGAATCTGGGAGTCAGAGGTTGCAGTGAGCTGAGACCATGCCACTGCACTCCAGCCTGGGCTACAAGAGCGAGACTCCATCTAAAAAAAAAAAAAAATTGGATGTTTTCTTTTCAGATTTTATATTAACTCATATACCCAAGTTTCTAAATGGTCATTGTGGTATGCTGCCACTTTTAATGGCATTTGAAAGCTAGAGTGCACACCAGGCTTTCTATAGTATACACAAGAACTTCATTGAATTGAATATTTCTTTCTTATTCAGCAGTGGAAGATTTTAGACAGACATATGAACGCATTCAGAGAGAGAATTCAGATAACAGTTTTATACATAGCCTGTACATTTTAAAAAATCACTGGACCTGTAATTTCCTGTGATATTAGAATAAAATTATTACAAGAATCTATAAAACTTTCTAGGAGACAGGTCCAATATAAAAGTTATTGGAAATCTCATTGCTTAAACTGTAGTTGGGAATTTGCAACAACACCTTCAGAGACTGGGAAAAGGAGAACAGACTGGTCAGAACTTGGAGATCACACAAGCAGTGTAATTGTGAAATTCAAAGAAACTGGCAGTTTTTAATGGAGATGCTTAAATTGTTGCTTTAGAAGCTAATTAAAATCTCACCTCTTCATGAAACCAGATTATTAGTATATGCATTTTTCCTATATTTTCTTTCTGTAAACATTGGACTAGAATAAACTTAGATTTCTTTGAAACTCTTCCAGTGATTTTACAAACCATTTGCCTAATTATTTCAATAATATTTAAAAGTTACATTATAATTAAATAAAAACAAGAGGGAGAAAGTACTGATTAAGATTGTGAAGATAGTAACTGCCACTTATTAGCTCCCCTTTTCTTTGTTCTACCCTGTCCAAGTTATGGAAGTTTGCAGCTTTGAGAAAGGAAGCCTGTGTAAATGGTATCAACCAATCGCAATACATTTACTTCAAGATTCAAACACATTCAGGTGGGGACTTGGGAATGGGATTAGCATTCATCATGGGGAAGAAAACCACAGGCCATCGGTGGATCATACAAAGTAAGTGACCTCGTATTTTGAACATGTCTCTTAGGACATATGTATTAAGTGCCTTCCAAATTTCTGCCCCCACCACCTTATCCTAGGCCAATGCTATCGTAAAGACAAATGTTAAGTTGAAAAGGCTGAGTGTTTTCTTTCATACAAAATGGAAAGAGTGTCAATTAAAAAAGCAGCGAATGCTCTCATGAATCTCATAGAAACCAGAGTATGAATAAATGAACAGCATAATTTAATATTATCACTCTTTTAAAAGCCCTGTTAAGATGTTTTAAAAATGATATATGCATTTCCTCCTTCCCAAACCTCTCTTCTCCTTCTTCTCTTTTCCATCTCCTCCACCTCCTCCTCCCATTTCATCTTCTTCAGCCTCCCTTTCTTCCCCCTCTCCTTTCCTTCTTTCTGCTTTTTCTCACTCTGATGTTTGTTTGTTATACATGTATGAACACAGGTGAATGTGCAGATTTTCAACATCGATGAAAAGATTTTTCCACTTTTCATAAATCATGACATTAAATATTCATCATTATTTGCATTTCACTGTAAGTGCTTTCAACAATTTACTAATCTGTTCTCAACTAGTGGATTTTCCAGTGAATTTCATGTTATCCCAATGTTATAAAATTACTTCAAAGAAGAAATATAGTGGCTACTGTGTGAGAATACTTTCGTAAGCACTAGCAATAAAGGAGTGACTGAAACAGATGATCCTTGCTCTCATTAGGGAGACAGGCAGTAAGACAATGAATAGAAAGTGTTACAGATAGTGTTAACTGCTACACAGCAGAATGGAAACAAGGAAAGGGTTTATTAGTGATGGAGGGATTCCTTCTGAATGGAACCCAAAGGGAAAGGTCCTGAGCCAGGACCATGCCAGCATGATTGGGGTGGGATGAGAATAGCAAACAACACAACAAATGTTAATTTCTTCTTCATTGTATTGACTATTAAGGTTTTTTGTCCATTTTTAATTTTTTTCACTTTTGTGAAATGCATGAATATTTTATAGTGTGGTAAGCATGTTTACGTATTTTATATACCAACTTTTCTGTTGTTTACCACTTTGCCCTTTATGTATCCCATGTAACAACTTAATTTTTATCACAGTGACTGCATGCATCTAGCCTAAAAGCCTCAAAGAGAATTGACAGTCTTATAATGACAAACAGCTGTCATTCCTTGAGTAACATGAGTCCAATTCCCTGGAGTCCAATACCCTACTATGTCCTAAGATCATATAATTACTCCTCTATACTTTTCTCACATTTATTAGGGACTGATTGTAGGTGTTAGTCCATATTTATAAAAGAATATATAGTCATTTCTTGATTCAAAAGCTTTAGACTTCCTCTGTTGACATCTTCTATTCCTCTCCCTAAATTCCTATTTCTCTCCCTCCCATCATTCCAACTGTATATATTTATACACAGTTCTGTTTAGGTTTTTAGCTTAGCAATATTCTGATTCTTTTTAATTTCTGAGCTAGATATTGCATGACTGTTTACTTTGTTTATGATATTTTTATGTGAAAATTAATAAGCTTCTCACCTTTTATTTTCTGTAGATGTTTCATGAACTTAATGATCTTTTTCCCAATATCAATTGGAATATCAATTTGCATTCCTCAAAACCAAGTAGGGGAAATGATTGATATTTAGTAATGGTGCTAGGATTTTTTATTTTTCATATAAAAATTATATAAATTTAAAAATTGTACCATGTTCTTTTGTGTAACTATGCTCTGTGATGTCGAGGTGAAGACAAAATGCTTTTCTCCGAACTTGCTTCCATCATTAAGCGACACGTGACTGTATATAGTTATATAGTTAGCCTGTTTTTATTAGGACTTGTTTATAGTTAGCAGAATGTAAGACATAGGTGGAAGTATTAATTTTACCTTGGAAGAAGGATATTCCTTGCTGTATAACAAGTAGAGAGAAAGAAGGTACTGAGTCAGATGGATTTATGAATTGAAAAAATTTAAGCAACATGACATACAAAGTAATGATAATTGTACTTTACAATATTAATGTGCCGATATTTCAAGTATTAAAGTACCCATTTTTCAAGTACTCATCTCCTTTTATTTAATTTAATTTTTTTTGAGAAGTCTCATTCTGCTACCCAGGCTGGAGTGCAGTGGCTCAATCTCAGCTTACTCCCACCTCTAGTTTTAATTGTTGTGAATACATGGTAGTTGTATATATTTATGGGCTACATAAGGTGTTTTGATACATGCGTGCAATATATAATAATCACATCATGGAGAATGGGGTACTCATCCCCTCAAGCATTCATTCTTTGAGTTACAATCCAGTTACTCTGTTTATTTTAAAAGGTACTGTTAAGTTATTATTGATGATAATAACCCTGTTGTGCTATCAAATAGGTCCTGTTCATTCTATTTTTTTGTACCCATTAATTATGCCCCCTCCCTCTCAGCCCCCTGCTACCCTTCCCAGCACAAGTATTCATCCTTTTCTGGCTTCTTTTTTGTGTGTCATTTTCTTTACCTTTTCTTTACATTTTTTCTTGTTCATTTGCTCCTCCCATTTACATGGTAATAATTATTTTAAGTAGGAATTTTGTGGCCTCATTTTGTTCTTTATTATCATTTATTTTCATGTCTTCTCTTTTTCTGAGGTTCGGTAACTAGTAACTTTCTCCTGTTTCGTAGACCACAGTTCGAGTGCCCAAGTCCTGTGACATCCCACCTTTCTTCCTCTCATTCTGATAATTCCAGAGAAATGTTATTTCAGACACTCTTATGTTAAAGAATCTTTTAAAAATCTTCATGCCTTTTACATCCGTATCCACAGTTAAAACTTCATAATCCCCAAACTCTGTAGTTGCTACTTCAAAGAAAACTAGTGGTATCTCTGCTGCTCTGTCTGGGACCTCCTTCTGTAGATGGGCCTTATACCCAAGAGATTCGTAATATTTTTAGCATCCAATTATTTTCTTTAGTCTGATTTTCCTCCCTCCCTGCTTTTGGAACTCTCTTTTGTCACCGTTTCTGTTGTATTAAGATGGTGCCAGCTTTTTATATAATATTTTGATATTTTGTTTTGAGTTTTTAAAAATTTTTCATTTAAAAAATTTTATTTTTTCCCTTGGGCTACTTCTCATTCACAAAAAAAAAAAAAAAAAAAAAAAAAAAAGACAGAAAAAAGCCAAGGACACTTACAGAAAGTTTTTGTGGCTGATATCAATAATTGGCATCTCATGAATAAGCTATATGTCCATTAAGAAAAAGTAGACTAGAATTTCACACATAAGTGATAAAGGTGGAAGTAGCAACGTGTCAAAGTACTATAAGGCAGTAATTTGTTTGTATTTCCTCCCACCCTACTACCTCCAATAGACTGAAAATTTCCTGAGGAATCCCAGGAGCTGTGATTTCCCAATTCGTTGCGTTATTTTCTGGTGTCTGGTACATAATAGGGCTCAATAATTATTTGTTGAGTAAGTTGGTTGCTAATTAGCATCAAATATTTGGTGTTTTTATTATAGGCTACAGAACACAAAATTAAATTTTAAATAGAAATTCTTAATAGTCATATAATATTTAACATATGGACTGTATATGACAGTAAATCATGGAGAAGAGAACAGCCCCTAAATGTATATGTTCTCTCATTTTCCTCTTCTTTTCTCTCGGGTCTTTCCTCAGCCTAGGAAGGCTTGGTATTTTTTCTTTTATTAAAAAAATAGTTCTTATGCATCAGATATCCTATGTATAGCTTATAGTAAGATTCTAAGCTCAGTTTTTCAAATTTTGTTGTTTATATTTGAAGGGTAACTTTTCTAATTTTAAAGTGCCTTTTCTCTCTTAGGCGTCTTGTTATGGAAATTTAAAGCCAGGTTCTTAAGGATATTGTTTTGGAAATATTCTCAAAATTAGTTTTCAAAATTGAAAGGCTTTGTGTCAGTTCTTTGTTCTTTCTTGCTCTGATCCCAGCTCTCTTGGAGACAAAGATTGCTTCTGGTTCAGTAAAGTAAGGATTATTTATAAGCAAGTATAAGAGAAAAAAAACCCATAATAATATATTTGAAAATACTCTCTTGCTTTATACACTTAACGAAGTAATAAAAAATCTAGAAAAGCCACAGTAGGGTACAGATATGTAGAGAAATTTTAATTGTGTGGTTGAGTCTTAGGCAAGGTCTTAAAATGCATATGTTTGTCATGAAAATGACATGACTACTTGATATTCTACTTTTTTTTTTTGCATCCGCAATTTAATGGACTATCCTTGGCACATCTGACATGAACTCTATAGTATAAAGTTAAGATTGCATCTTTATTTTCTGTTTGTTTGTGGGGGAATAACACCTTTCCGTGCAGCAAGTTTATTTTTACATGAATTAGAAGAAGGTATCTCTTCTTATAGACATAGGCATTTTCAGCACAGAGTTCAGTGAGTGGATTCTCCCTTTATCCTGCTCAGCAGGGCTCAACTGAGGTCACCCAGTGTGATTTCTCTAGGATTGTGATCAACGTATATGGTAATATTGCTCTCAACTATAATGCAATGGAAAGATAAAGTAAAAATTCATTCAATGTCCATATCATCAATTGTAATTTACATGTTTTCTTTCTTTTTTTTTTTTTTTGAGATTGGGGTTGAATTAGGTTTCTATTTTCTTTAAATTACGTAGGGAAGGAGAATATTTAGTAGAAAAGTATTTTTCTTAGGGTTTTGAGGAAAGAACTATAATCTAGTATTTTAAAAAAAGCATAAGCAGAAGCAAAATGAGTTTGTACCCATTCGTGCTCTAACAACTATTGAGGCAGTTGACAAAATCATGAGTCCCTCCCAGCTGAGAAATTTTTTAAAAATTATTATTTGTTTATTTAATCAAGACACTTGTGTCACCTAGTATCTGAGCCTTATAGTTCACATTTAAATCTGCTTAGAATACTTTATACTTGGAAGGCTTGTGTAATGATTCCTCTCAGTTTGTAATTTTATATGATCTCAGAATTCTGTACTCTG